CCCCCACTCCATAGACATGCTGGAAGGTTAATTGGCTCCTGTCTAAACTGTCCCTGTATGTGTGTACAATAGGGACCTTAGATTGTAAGCTCCTTGAGGGCTGGGACTGATGTGAATGTACAGTATGTAAAGCGCTGTGTAAATTGTTGTCACTGCATAAATACATGATACATTTCCGAACTTTGATCTATGGATGGGCCCTCCTTTTGTCAAAGTAGCTGGGTGGACATTTTTCGGCGGAATAGTGACTGCAGCCAATCAGCTTACAGCCAACGTTCAGGTATTCTGACAGCTTTCAAAATACAATAGCCACAAGGGGAGATTTGTCCATCCATGCTCTTTAGCGTGGAAGGTTGTGATTTGAGTGATGGTGTACGGCCAGTTTTAGGGGACGTGGATAGAAGAAAGGATTGGTAACATGTGGCAATTCAGACTTCTTAGAAATACATTTGTAACGTGTAACCCTGAAGAAAGTGTTTTCTTTAAGAATTACCCCCCCTCCAGACTCCCAAATGCCGCCCATACCTCCTCCTTGAGTGCCAGCGGCTCCTCTCCGCTCAATTCATACAAACTCAAGGAAAGTAAATGCGTGTCGGTCAACAATAAACTTTATTAGTAGCACAGCACACATGAACTCCCTTCGGACGCATTTCAGTCGTTGACTTAGCTCTTCGGTGTGAAATGCATCGGTGAGAGGAGTTCATGCGGGTTGTGCAGTACTAATAAAGTTTATTTATACTGTGCGGCATCTACTTCCTTGAGCCTGATAAAAGTGTAATAGGGTCTTATAAGCGATGCTTATTCTCATGGTAAACGTCTGCCATGTTGTGCCTGTGCAGATCTCCTACAAAAAAAAAGGTTGTTATGTAATCTGTAAATGATATATAGGCAGCTGAACTTTACATTTCATTAGAAAACAATTACTTTTTTTCCTTGTCCGCTAAGGAATTTAAACAGAAAGAGAAAGACAGCATCTTGTTACAACTCCGAAACCAAAGTAAACAGAATCGAACCCAAACCTAGGTCCTCCTGGGATATTGTCTAAGCAGGAATTTATTGTATCCAGTGCTTGGCTGCTTCTTGTTAAGCCTCCTGCCTTCAAAACAACAATTTCTCTTCCTGTCTCTCTGTAGACATGGAGCTCGTTGGACGTATGTGTGGGAACTGAGTGTACATTCATACATTTACCTATATGATGGGCATGGGGGGATATAACGCTATGGAAATAGGCACTAAAGATTAATGCAGCTCTGTATTCATTAACAGATTCATAAGTGGATTTTTCTAATGCAAGCAGTGTAAGTACCTGACGCAATCACAAAGGAATATCACTGCTCCATCCAACATGGAGTCTTCAACAGCCAGGCCGATGCAGGCAAAGGCCAGGAGCCGTCCATGCTCCGTGGGGGCTGACCCAAGTAAAAAGCTGTACGCCGCTGTTAACCAAATTGCAAACTTTAATCCACGGGGCTACCAACTTCCAATGTAACAGAATTCCCCTCTTAGAGGGCTGCCCTGCCTAATGCGTTTCACCCATAAGGGCTTAATCGTAGTGATGTTACATCTCTATGATTAAGCCCTTATGGGTGAAATGTGTTAGAATGGGCGGACCCTAGGCAGGGAATTCCAGTGGTGTGTGGCTTTTTCCCTGGGTCTACTGTAGGGATGCACCGATACTAGTATAGGTGATGATACTCGCACTCGCCTAATTGCTCCGATACCAGAACCCCCAGACAGAGGAAGATTTCCTCTGACTGGCAGTGCCGTAGGGGGACATGGAGCAAGCTTCCTGTGCGATCAGGAAGCTGGGCGGCGAGTAATGACCCGCCTCCCTGATTGACCGGGAACCCGGCTCCATGCTGATTGGTTGGGAAGCTGGTTTCCCGACCAAGCACAATCAAGCCGGCCAGACAACATGGAGCCAGCTTCTCAGGGCAATCAGATTGCCAGCGGAAGCACCGGTATTGGTTCTCAGTATCGACGAGTACCTAAAGCAAAGTATCGGTACTCATACTCGATAACGAAAAAACGGTATCGGTGCATCCCTAGTCTAGTGTAAGTACCTGAATTTGATTTGATATTAGCCTCTCACGGTACAGCAAACTGGAAAAGGGAAAAGCAGCCCAAGAAGCCAATCAGTTGTCCTGCAGTGCTGATTGGAGGAGAAAGCAGAGCACTTGTCCAGTCAGAATCTGGGGGAGGGACAAGACCTGTAAGCGTTACTGAACTGAAGCAGAGAAAAAAACAGGTCTCCTGCGAGACAGGGCTGTCCTTTGTGGCAGAGCTGCATCAATCTCAGAACTGATGGACATAAATAAGAATTCTTTGGCAAATATAAGTATTTCGTATCTGTTTTAGCTGTTTGTCTGAAGTTCAGCTTTAAGATTAGCAAATGATTCTACACAATACCTGTGCCCACTCCCTGTTCCTGGAAGCCGTGTTTCCTTATCATCTGGCACCGCCATCAGAGTAATCTGCAGAGTATACTGCTGCATCAGAGCTGATTCAAAATTCAACTACTTCCAAATATTGCAGAAATGTGAGAAGCAAAACATAAATGTCTGCGCACACTGACCCTTATACATGATCCAATTATACTGGCGAGGGGCCCATGAACTGAAAACAGCCCGGGGCCCACAGTACAAATCATCTACTACTGATTCAATGGCAGTAGTTCTCTGGCTCTTCCAGCACAGAATCATACAGGGAGAGGCAGCTCTGTGATAGATATCCAATGGAACAAACTACACACATTTTATTTGTATCCCCAGTTATAAAACAGAGGAGAAGACAGATGAGAGGCACTGATAGCAGTCAGTCTCTGACAGGAGATACACAATCATCCCCCCAGGGCTGGTAGCTTGTGGCGGTGGTCTTAGAATGACCGGAATGTTCTGTTTTGACCTCGATGAATATCTTTCATTCCTTTACCTGTTCAGGTTACCTCATCCCTATGATCCCTATGGGCAAACTGGGAAGGAGTAAAACCGCTGAGTTACAAATCACCAAAAATGTCACAATATCAAAGCCC